GTCTGGTTTGTCCGGTACAACAGTTCAATCTGAGGGAACGTGTAAAACGTGGCAAATGAGTGGTTTCGCTTTTTGACCGGCTAGCTGGCTGCTCATGAGCAAAAGCCAGTTATGCAATAAAACCCAATCAATCATTCCGTCAGCAGTGTTTTCCAAGAATCTTACCACCCACATTTTATGTTTGGCTACGTCAGCCGGATATAATTGGAGTGTTGGTGAAGTTAATGGGTAAGTTCGTGGAAATTAAATCGATATCTCAAGGTCACAGGGCTTATGATACTGAAAGGTATTTCGCAACTCAATTCATTGCGTTTCTCAGAATAATGACACACTGACACATTGATTGATGTTCTTCCGTTTCATCGGCGTCCCAGATCTTAAGAATTTCGTTTCAGAAGCAAGTTCGGGTAACAACTTAAGTCAGTTGAATGTGTCACGACTTGTATACTTTAATATATAGAGAAAACAAAACCCAAAACTGGAACAGGCAAAGCGCTGTCAGACAATACGGCAAATTGTTTTCTTATATATACTCCGACATAAATTTCAAAACAGGGACTCGATGTAAATGGACTCGTTGTACCTTGGACTCGATGTACCTCGGCTTATTTCTGGGAAAAACCCCGTGCAATCCCTGCAGCCGGTGTTAAGAGAAACGAAATAGAATATCTGCTTCTTTAACTCATAATATTATCATACATAATACTCTAATTACGCTAGGATGACGGCTGAGCCGGAAATTTGACTTCAAATCGCATAGCAGGGTAATGAACTGAATGTTTCGGTTTTTCTCCATGCATAGGAACATAGATATTGAGAAAAGCCCAACAAACAACGCCCCTCGTTACTTTCGTATGGCCGCCTTTCCCTAGCGCTGCTTTCGGGGCATAGCGACGCAACTTTCAGAGCTGTCACCGCTTTGGGACTCGAACTAAAACATGGACCATAGGTGCCTGTCTTGATATAAAATTGTTTTCAATGTACAGAGAGACATGTTATTTAGAAAAGAATATATAGGATATTCTGTTTGAAATAGGGGTCATCTAAAACAAATCAGATCGGTTTTGTGTAACTTGTAGTGTTATTTTCGTTTTTTTCACGTCAAGTTACATTCTTGATGTCGCTACTCTCGGAATTTATTCACTCCTTACTCAGGTTAAACTTCATCGCTACTTTCGGAGAGACAGTTTACACCGTCGGAACTTTAAAAGAGTTTTGCTTCTCAGGGTCACGCGGTCTGTTGTCTTCCTGACGTACCTTGCCTTCCAGACGAACTCGCACAGTCAGACAGTCAGGCTAACAAATCCCAGTTTCAAACTAGTTTTGTGATGTGATCGATGCATTAACTCTCGGCGTAGGATTTTTTGTAACTTTAGCCAGAAAGAAAGAGCGCACAGTTGTGAAAAGTACATTTATTTGGTAAAGCTACGAGAGACTTAATGCTCTGTAAGCCTTCTGTATTTCTCGCACTCAAAGCAATTACATGCGCGGATTCTATTCTATTACTGAACGTTGCTCAGCACTCCCTTATTTTAATCTTGCCTAACTAGTTCACACTACCATTCAACGTTTTCTTTTGTTATCATTCGAAAACGACAAAACCTAAAGATGGCTTTTCGATGCCGTCGTAACAGCCGTTAAAGTACCTCTCCAGCACGGGCCAAGAGCGGTGATACACGACTACAAACTCTTCGCAATTCTTATAAATGCTCGGCACTGCAACCAAAAATGAGAGTTCTTTCAGTAGATACAGAACTCCTTCATTCAAGTCCACTGCATCCCCCTCGGTAATTTCGTTTTCTTTGTCGCAGCCGCCTTTTTCTCGGCCGTTTCTGAGACATCTTAACGCTGCCTCGGTAGACTCTCTGATGTCGTTACGGAACTCATCATTAGCCTTGTACAGGTCTTTGATGTCCACTAGAGCCTTGTCATATTCATGGCAGCTTTCCACGTCCTCCGTCCACCTGATGAAGCTGTAGTTGGCGTGGCAGAAGGTGCTGCCTTGAATAGCTTCGTTGCATTTGTTTCGCAGCCGATTTCCTTTAACGCGCGCAGACTTCTCAGGATTTTTCGAGCCCACCGCTCGGTAGTTATGCTCCGATATCTTGTCAGGAATAAAAAGTAGCACCTGTAAGAGAAAACAGATTAACTTTTACTTAGAATTAACTCACGGGAGGCTAGTAAAACAAGGAAAACTCAACTCGCTCTTCTGCACATTTTTCACTCGACGAGGATTAAAATAACTTACCTGATCTGGATTCTTTCTTGCCGCGAAATCAAAAAGTCGTTCAAGAGTTTCCTTCTTGTAATAGTACGGGTTGCCGGGGCTAATGCCTAACATCAAGGGCCTCTTGTCCTGCAGAAATCTATGGCCATTTAGATAAACTTGGGAAACTTCCATGATCGCGTACTCGATGCTGTGAGAGCCGAACATTTGGAGATGTCTCGTTCAATCTGCTGTTTGCGCGATCAATTTTGTAGCTTTCGAACAGTAGTCACACCCCCAACAAAATTATTTCTCAGTAACCCAGTTTTTATGCATTGCATGATGTCAGGGACGAACCCCGGAAACCAGGCCGGAAATTCTACCGCGGAGATTGAAAAAAAAACTTGATCACACGCAGGTCACGAGATCTGGAAGTGCGTCACCCACATTTTCCAAGAAATAGCCTCGGAAAGAGCATCGATAAAAAGGGTAATCTTTGTGTTACGGCGGCGGGCTTCCTAACAGCAGATGGTTAGACGATCGTCAGGTAAAATTATTATCGGTCTCTAAAATTTAACTGTTCATTGATTTTAGAACAAGATTTGCGAACACCCGGAAAACAGGCCGGAAATATACACTTTGCTGCGATTTAGCAATAAGCTTGATCACACCAAGATCACGAGTTTTAAAAGTGCGTCATCCACATTTTCCAAGAAATACCCCCCCGGAAATAGCATCGATAAAACAAGTAATCTTTGTGTTACGGGTTTAGGTTACTTAACACTGGGCTTAACAGCGGAAGGTTTGTAGACGATCGTTCGGTAAAATTGTCATCGATTTCTAAAATCCAGCGGTTATTCGATTTTGGTATAAGATTTGCAAACGCCAGCTTGGATTTAGAAGATTTCAGTTCAGAGTTGCGATCAAGGCCCAAAGAGAGAAAATGTTTGCAGAATGGAGTACATTCGGTTTGTTCGCCTCCGTCTTCGCAGTACTCCTGTTTGCTCGGCAGCTTCTGTACCAGTGGTTGCAGGTTGGTGTTTTGTTAGTCAGTAATTAATACTAAGAGTTTCAATGTGAAAGTAAGTGCTGGCGTGAGGTAGAAGAAACGCCAGCAATTCAATTTGTGAAAACTGAGTGAACAGCAGTGGAAATGGTTTCTATCTGTGAGGGTAGGAGTGGGGAGATGCGGAGAGGAGACCCCAGTCTGCTTGAAAACGGCGTTATTAACTCAAATAAGCGTGTATTAATTTTAAAAAATCCGACAGAAAGTACTGTTTTTGGCAATGTCGAGTTTGCTCCACATCATTCAGTTTGCCGTACAAACAATGGGATGTTGACATGAAAATGGCCTTGCAGCACATCATTGTTTTGAGTAAACCACATCACTTGATTTCAGTTTGTTATAATATCCATAATTTGTCTTAATGCCGGCCAGCAAAATACAGTTGAATGATCAGTTGTAGGGAAAACAAAGACGCGGGTAAAAATAAAGAAAATAAGGGGGTTTTCGTTTTCGGGTCTGCGTTTTCGGGTCTCTGTTTTCGAGTCTTCGTTTTCGGATCTCCGTTTTCGTTACAACTGTTTGATTGCATGCTTTGTCGCTACATGTATTAGAAAGATTAAAACCGGAGCTGGATATTTCCGGCGAGAAGCCATGACAAGATCACGTTAAATAAAGAAAATAAAGGTGTCATCTTTTTGGGTCTTAGGTCTTGACTTAGGTCTTTGCTTTCGGGGGTCTTCGCCTTCGCTATAATGTGATAAGATTGTTCGCTTTGTCCCGATGGGGAATGTTATAATTGCTTTGTGCTTCGATGTGTATGCGGTGTTGACTTCTGCAGAGTAAATTATAAGTCAAGATATTTGGGATGTGACCTTACTAATGTAATTCTTGGACTCGTAGAATCGATCAATTTGTGCCGTGATCCCAAATCTTGCCATTTGCCGTCGCTGAGCTACATAACTCGGTGGGTGTAAGACTTAAAAATCTTGTTCGAACACTGAGCCATGGTCGTTTTCTGCAAGCTTCTGTTAGCTCGGAGCATGTTTTTTTTTCATGTTTTTCATGTTTTTCATTCATCATGATGCAACAGTTGTTTGTCGTCAAATCAAGTTGACCAGACAGGAGTAACACACAAATAAATGTAGCTAAATAAAGACCTCTTGAATAACATTATGGCTGATTTTTTAGAAGAAAAAAGATAAATTCCTCAACTCAGTGTCAATAACCTCCACACCAAAGCCACAACTTGAGTAGCCAAAAAAACACCCTCAACGCTACTTGCGTCAGTTTTGAAAACAAACGCACTTGTGACTTTACGTCACCCACATGTGTCGAGGACGTCATTCACCCCTGCAAAAAATCTGCGCGGCGTTCGGGTGGGGTGGTGGCAAAATGTGAACAACTCACGGACATCTTGATTTTTCTCGCTTGGGTACGACACATGGAGGCCAAGACAAAATTAGTATGCGTTCTGGTACTCTCGAACGCAATAAAACTTGTCCGGCTGAGTTGTTTGAATAAGGCCCCCAAGTCGGCTAGTCCATTCGACTCATGACTGTAATCAATTCATTTTCGCGTTTATTTACTTTTGCACTTTAATCTTTTCAATTATATTCGAGATGGCTCAGTATCAGTTTACTACAAACAATGCCACTACACCGTGATTTAGCTTTTAGTAGTATCAACTATCACATTATTGAGTTCAATGGCTAAGTTGATTTGTAGCAATTTTTCAAAGTTGAAGCTTTGTGTTTCGTCAGTGTGTTTCGAAGGGAATTCTTTTGGATAGCGCNTTGTAGTTGTCAGGGAAAAAGTAGTTGAAATAATCAACGGCATTGAAGCTGAAAAACACAGAGCTTTGTACGGAAGCACCAAGAAACCAGCATGTCAGGTAGAGCTTCCAAGGAATTGCCATCGACGTTCAATTGTTGGTCTGGTTTGTCCGGTACAACAGTTCAATCTGAGGGAACGTGTAAAACGTGGCAAATGAGTGGTTTCGCTTTTTGACCGGCTAGCTGGCTGCTCATGAGCAAAAGCCAGTTATGCAATAAAACCCAATCAATCATTCCGTCAGCAGTGTTTTCCAAGAATCTTACCACCCACATTTTATGTTTGGCTACGTCAGCCGGATATAATTGGAGTGTTGGTGAAGTTAATGGGTAAGTTCGTGGAAATTAAATCGATATCTCAAGGTCACAGGGCTTATGATACTGAAAGGTATTTCGCAACTCAATTCATTGCGTTTCTCAGAATAATGACACACTGACACATTGATTGATGTTCTTCCGTTTCATCGGCGTCCCAGATCTTAAGAATTTCGTTTCAGAAGCAAGTTCGGGTAACAACTTAAGTCAGTTGAATGTGTCACGACTTGTATACTTTAATATATAGAGAAAACAAAACCCAAAACTGGAACAGGCAAAGCGCTGTCAGACAATACGGCAAATTGTTTTCTTATATATACTCCGACATAAATTTCAAAACAGGGACTCGATGTAAATGGACTCGTTGTACCTTGGACTCGATGTACCTCGGCTTATTTCTGGGAAAAACCCCGTGCAATCCCTGCAGCCGGTGTTAAGAGAAACGAAATAGAATATCTGCTTCTTTAACTCATAATATTATCATACATAATACTCTAATTACGCTAGGATGACGGCTGAGCCGGAAATTTGACTTCAAATCGCATAGCAGGGTAATGAACTGAATGTTTCGGTTTTTCTCCATGCATAGGAACATAGATATTGAGAAAAGCCCAACAAACAACGCCCCTCGTTACTTTCGTATGGCCGCCTTTCCCTAGCGCTGCTTTCGGGGCATAGCGACGCAACTTTCAGAGCTGTCACCGCTTTGGGACTCGAACTAAAACATGGACCATAGGTGCCTGTCTTGATATAAAATTGTTTTCAATGTACAGAGAGACATGTTATTTAGAAAAGAATATATAGGATATTCTGTTTGAAATAGGGGTCATCTAAAACAAATCAGATCGGTTTTGTGTAACTTGTAGTGTTATTTTCGTTTTTTTCACGTCAAGTTACATTCTTGATGTCGCTACTCTCGGAATTTATTCACTCCTTACTCAGGTTAAACTTCATCGCTACTTTCGGAGAGACAGTTTACACCGTCGGAACTTTAAAAGAGTTTTGCTTCTCAGGGTCACGCGGTCTGTTGTCTTCCTGACGTACCTTGCCTTCCAGACGAACTCGCACAGTCAGACAGTCAGGCTAACAAATCCCAGTTTCAAACTAGTTTTGTGATGTGATCGATGCATTAACTCTCGGCGTAGGATTTTTTGTAACTTTAGCCAGAAAGAAAGAGCGCACAGTTGTGAAAAGTACATTTATTTGGTAAAGCTACGAGAGACTTAATGCTCTGTAAGCCTTCTGTATTTCTCGCACTCAAAGCAATTACATGCGCGGATTCTATTCTATTACTGAACGTTGCTCAGCACTCCCTTATTTTAATCTTGCCTAACTAGTTCACACTACCATTCAACGTTTTCTTTTGTTATCATTCGAAAACGACAAAACCTAAAGATGGCTTTTCGATGCCGTCGTAACAGCCGTTAAAGTACCTCTCCAGCACGGGCCAAGAGCGGTGATACACGACTACAAACTCTTCGCAATTCTTATAAATGCTCGGCACTGCAACCAAAAATGAGAGTTCTTTCAGTAGATACAGAACTCCTTCATTCAAGTCCACTGCATCCCCCTCGGTAATTTCGTTTTCTTTGTCGCAGCCGCCTTTTTCTCGGCCGTTTCTGAGACATCTTAACGCTGCCTCGGTAGACTCTCTGATGTCGTTACGGAACTCATCATTAGCCTTGTACAGGTCTTTGATGTCCACTAGAGCCTTGTCATATTCATGGCAGCTTTCCACGTCCTCCGTCCACCTGATGAAGCTGTAGTTGGCGTGGCAGAAGGTGCTGCCTTGAATAGCTTCGTTGCATTTGTTTCGCAGCCGATTTCCTTTAACGCGCGCAGACTTCTCAGGATTTTTCGAGCCCACCGCTCGGTAGTTATGCTCCGATATCTTGTCAGGAATAAAAAGTAGCACCTGTAAGAGAAAACAGATTAACTTTTACTTAGAATTAACTCACGGGAGGCTAGTAAAACAAGGAAAACTCAACTCGCTCTTCTGCACATTTTTCACTCGACGAGGATTAAAATAACTTACCTGATCTGGATTCTTTCTTGCCGCGAAATCAAAAAGTCGTTCAAGAGTTTCCTTCTTGTAATAGTACGGGTTGCCGGGGCTAATGCCTAACATCAAGGGCCTCTTGTCCTGCAGAAATCTATGGCCATTTAGATAAACTTGGGAAACTTCCATGATCGCGTACTCGATGCTGTGAGAGCCGAACATTTGGAGATGTCTCGTTCAATCTGCTGTTTGCGCGATCAATTTTGTAGCTTTCGAACAGTAGTCACACCCCCAACAAAATTATTTCTCAGTAACCCAGTTTTTATGCATTGCATGATGTCAGGGACGAACCCCGGAAACCAGGCCGGAAATTCTACCGCGGAGATTGAAAAAAAAACTTGATCACACGCAGGTCACGAGATCTGGAAGTGCGTCACCCACATTTTCCAAGAAATAGCCTCGGAAAGAGCATCGATAAAAAGGGTAATCTTTGTGTTACGGCGGCGGGCTTCCTAACAGCAGATGGTTAGACGATCGTCAGGTAAAATTATTATCGGTCTCTAAAATTTAACTGTTCATTGATTTTAGAACAAGATTTGCGAACACCCGGAAAACAGGCCGGAAATATACACTTTGCTGCGATTTAGCAATAAGCTTGATCACACCAAGATCACGAGTTTTAAAAGTGCGTCATCCACATTTTCCAAGAAATACCCCCCCGGAAATAGCATCGATAAAACAAGTAATCTTTGTGTTACGGGTTTAGGTTACTTAACACTGGGCTTAACAGCGGAAGGTTTGTAGACGATCGTTCGGTAAAATTGTCATCGATTTCTAAAATCCAGCGGTTATTCGATTTTGGTATAAGATTTGCAAACGCCAGCTTGGATTTAGAAGATTTCAGTTCAGAGTTGCGATCAAGGCCCAAAGAGAGAAAATGTTTGCAGAATGGAGTACATTCGGTTTGTTCGCCTCCGTCTTCGCAGTACTCCTGTTTGCTCGGCAGCTTCTGTACCAGTGGTTGCAGGTTGGTGTTTTGTTAGTCAGTAATTAATACTAAGAGTTTCAATGTGAAAGTAAGTGCTGGCGTGAGGTAGAAGAAACGCCAGCAATTCAATTTGTGAAAACTGAGTGAACAGCAGTGGAAATGGTTTCTATCTGTGAGGGTAGGAGTGGGGAGATGCGGAGAGGAGACCCCAGTCTGCTTGAAAACGGCGTTATTAACTCAAATAAGCGTGTATTAATTTTAAAAAATCCGACAGAAAGTACTGTTTTTGGCAATGTCGAGTTTGCTCCACATCATTCAGTTTGCCGTACAAACAATGGGATGTTGACATGAAAATGGCCTTGCAGCACATCATTGTTTTGAGTAAACCACATCACTTGATTTCAGTTTGTTATAATATCCATAATTTGTCTTAATGCCGGCCAGCAAAATACAGTTGAATGATCAGTTGTAGGGAAAACAAAGACGCGGGTAAAAATAAAGAAAATAAGGGGGTTTTCGTTTTCGGGTCTGCGTTTTCGGGTCTCTGTTTTCGAGTCTTCGTTTTCGGATCTCCGTTTTCGTTACAACTGTTTGATTGCATGCTTTGTCGCTACATGTATTAGAAAGATTAAAACCGGAGCTGGATATTTCCGGCGAGAAGCCATGACAAGATCACGTTAAATAAAGAAAATAAAGGTGTCATCTTTTTGGGTCTTAGGTCTTGACTTAGGTCTTTGCTTTCGGGGGTCTTCGCCTTCGCTATAATGTGATAAGATTGTTCGCTTTGTCCCGATGGGGAATGTTATAATTGCTTTGTGCTTCGATGTGTATGCGGTGTTGACTTCTGCAGAGTAAATTATAAGTCAAGATATTTGGGATGTGACCTTACTAATGTAATTCTTGGACTCGTAGAATCGATCAATTTGTGCCGTGATCCCAAATCTTGCCATTTGCCGTCGCTGAGCTACATAACTCGGTGGGTGTAAGACTTAAAAATCTTGTTCGAACACTGAGCCATGGTCGTTTTCTGCAAGCTTCTGTTAGCTCGGAGCATGTTTTTTTTTCATGTTTTTCATGTTTTTCATTCATCATGATGCAACAGTTGTTTGTCGTCAAATCAAGTTGACCAGACAGGAGTAACACACAAATAAATGTAGCTAAATAAAGACCTCTTGAATAACATTATGGCTGATTTTTTAGAAGAAAAAAGATAAATTCCTCAACTCAGTGTCAATAACCTCCACACCAAAGCCACAACTTGAGTAGCCAAAAAAACACCCTCAACGCTACTTGCGTCAGTTTTGAAAACAAACGCACTTGTGACTTTACGTCACCCACATGTGTCGAGGACGTCATTCACCCCTGCAAAAAATCTGCGCGGCGTTCGGGTGGGGTGGTGGCAAAATGTGAACAACTCACGGACATCTTGATTTTTCTCGCTTGGGTACGACACATGGAGGCCAAGACAAAATTAGTATGCGTTCTGGTACTCTCGAACGCAATAAAACTTGTCCGGCTGAGTTGTTTGAATAAGGCCCCCAAGTCGGCTAGTCCATTCGACTCATGACTGTAATCAATTCATTTTCGCGTTTATTTACTTTTGCACTTTAATCTTTTCAATTATATTCGAGATGGCTCAGTATCAGTTTACTACAAACAATGCCACTACACCGTGATTTAGCTTTTAGTAGTATCAACTATCACATTATTGAGTTCAATGGCTAAGTTGATTTGTAGCAATTTTTCAAAGTTGAAGCTTTGTGTTTCGTCAGTGTGTTTCGAAGGGAATTCTTTTGGATAGCGCGGCCTTAGAGTTTCCAACTTTTCCTCCATGTGAAACTTAACGGGTGACTAAATGTTTCGTCAATTCTTTGGGGAAAAACTCCTCAGTTAATTGCGTCTGGTAAAAAAGAACGTTTGATGAATGTGATCTAATTTTCCGACATGTGCGCGTGCCTTTTTCAGTTTGCGCGTTTTCTGTTTCGGTGCCATTTTGAAGAAATTAACCTATTCTAGGAATCCGCTTGGCAGTGAACGCAGGTTTTTAGTGAAGGTAACAAATTAACAAAGTGGTGGCCCAAGGGAACTGTCACTAAAGAGTAACAGTACTCCTGAAAATTACTTACAGTGGAACCCCGTGAGTGCGGTCACCTCGTTAATACGGTCAGCTCGTTATTACGGCCACATTTTTTGTCCCTGCGAAACGCCCATACATTTTCTTATAGGAAAACACCATTAATGCGGCCACCTTGTTAATACGGCCAACTGCCACATTCTGAAAACCCTACCTGCATAATCTTTTATAATTTGATTTATACGGCCACTCAAATCAGTTATGTTCATCTTTCCATGATTGTCAATATTTTACACAATGACCGTATTAGCGGGGTTCCACGGTATTATTGTCAGTTTGCCTCCACTTAATATTCAGAATGAGAAGCGAATTCGAGCAAACGTCTGTGGTTACTGCNCAATGACCGTATTAGCGGGGTTCCACGGTATTATTGTCAGTTTGCCTCCACTTAATATTCAGAATGAGAAGCGAATTCGAGCAAACGTCTGTGGTTACTGCCAGCAATCTTTGTTTCCGTTCCATGAACTTATTTAAGAGGCATTGTTTTAGCTAGAAAGATTGCAAAATGACATCAGGCGTTTTCACTCAAGTACCAATGTGTTTTCTTTGCCTACTTTTCGCAGGTTGCACTGGTTTACTGGCGTGTACCATGGACAAATGCTAGAGGAGAGCGAATGAGAGGTGAGCTACCCAAGTTACCTTTCGGGCACTTTCACCAAGTGAACTTCTTTGGCCGACCGCTGTCCAAGAAGTACGGTCCTATTTACTACATATGGCATTGCTTTACTCCAGTCGTGTAAGTATCATACTGAGATACCTGCAGTGCCAAACTTTGAGACCCCTTAAACATTGCAAAAGCGATTGCTCGAAATTACCATCAGTCTAACAGACGGCTGTAAGATGTTTATTAACCCTCTCACTCTCAAGAGTGCTATGTGGTACAAAATACCATTACATGCTCAATGTCTGATCAATTTTTTTTTTATCAACTTTGAACGGCAAAAAGGTCTTGGACAGATCTGTCTTTCGAAAGCATAAAATCGTACTTCCTTCCTATATGAGACTTGATTAACCACCCCTACAAACTGTGCAACTTTTTCCTCTTAGACTTTTCAGGTCAAGTTAATATCTGACAATGGTTTAGGGGTATACCTCAACTACACAAGAAGTGAGGTATTTTTTAACGTTTTTCGTTTTTCGTTTTGAATGCTTTTCAATTCCAACTGGGGCTTCCTCTATGGCTGTTAGTATAATGTATATCTTTTATGTATATCTGTTAGTATAATGTATATCTTATAATAATATCTTTCAAACGGGTATACTACGCGTGATCTTCGGGTCTGTAGTCACGTTTTACAGAATATGTGGTTTTCCCCACGGGTGTGAGAGGGTTAAGGGTTCCTATCTATCAGGCCAGCTCTTCTCTCTGAAACTTCAGATTTTCGATAATTCCTTTTCCACTTCTGCCTTAGAGGGGAGGCCACGACAAGTTATGATCATTTAGGAACTATATAACAATTCAGAGTCTTAATTAAGCTGTGTTGATACACGTCATAAACTTTTATTGCCATGGACTAACTATTGCTTTTATGGAGCGTTTTAATTAAATTGAGTCTACTAAAACCAAAGTAATCACCTCAGCCAATCAGAAAGGACACAGACCACAACCATACAATCAACCAATCAAAACTCGAAGTAAATACCTGAGACTGATGCGAAGCAAAGGTTTTACTTCTGATTGGATGAGAAAGGGGCGTGAGGTTTTTTTTAAGCTAATCGCGTTGCGTTGCAATGCAAAACTACAGCAATTGCGAATTACTTTTCGACAATCAAGTGAAAAACGCTCAATCATTCTACACTAGCTGATATATGATTAGAAATAACCCCCTTGAAAGATTTTGGAAAGAAATAAGCTAAGAAGAGGGAGTTAATAAGGATTTTATTGTAGATATTGATGACTTGAACGAGGTCTGTATTGAACATGACAATGGAGTTTCATAAAATAAACTCAATTTTGTGCAAGGTGTACTTAAGGTATCAATAAGGGGAAAATTTGCCATTTTGCATAATTTTATTTTTTTAAGCGGTTGGATAAATCTTAAGGTAATCTTTAAGATATAAAAAACTTCACGAAAAAATATTATATCTGCTGCTAGTTATTGCGCAAGAAAGATTTTTTGCATATTAATTACTTAATTGAGGTTTTCCATCATGTTCTTTTTTTCCAAGCTTTGCTGATAAATATGACATCCATTCTCGGCAAACGAAAGGAATTTGCTTTGCTGTGCCAACTAAACTAACCTGACAGTGTATTCTGTTCCCTTCACAGGATATTAGCTGACGCCGAAGCTATTCGCGCTTTCTACACCGATCACTACTCTCACCAGCGTGATCGTGACTTCACTTGCCTCGGGTCTGTGTTCAAGGACATACTGGGAAATTGCTTAGCAACAAGCTACGGGCGCGAGGAAGTGAGAAGATGCCGTGGTCCTTTCGAAAAACACTTCTCCGCAAGCGCCGCTTCAAACACCTTGTACGTGGTAGGACGTGAGTGTGCGGCCTTCATGAAAGGTTTGCCGATCGGCAAACCTGTCCATCTTCAAGAGGAAGGTCTGGAAAACGTCACCCTCAGAGTTTTAGTGCAAGTGGTGTACGGAGAGGAGGTGCTTGAGAAATATTTTCAACGTGTCCTGGATGTCAGTAACCTGCTTCAAGATGCCGTGAACACGTTTAATCTCGGTGAAACTAGGCTGCCGTTTTATTCGTATCTTCCAACCAAGGCAAACCGTAAGGCGCGCTCGTTTAACAAGGCTTGGGAGTCGTTTAACCAATTCTTATTCACGGAATACGAGGAGGGAAGACTGAAATCTGGCGACGGCTTGTTCTTCACAATGATGGAACAACTGAAGACTCACGCACTCGAACTCGCCGAACAGGAGGTAGGCTAAAAGCTTACATTACTATTCCCTTTTCCTCAAGTCTTAGGTTTTGACTGGGGAACTGCAAAATCCCACCTTGCTACCGCTCCGGGTGGAAAATTTTACAGAACGCGGGAGAAAAAGGGACAACAAGCGAGATCATTGTCAAGTGGCCACAGCTTTGCAAGATGGGAAAAAGGAAAGTACTATGGGCGGAAGGGGGGGGGGGNAGGGCGGAAACCGGCTGCAAAAGGCACTTGGAACGGCAAACTGGGAGCTCTTCATATCACCGGCCCTTTTAGTACGACCTTCAGAGGTCGGATTAACGGGGTTCTGCCATACATACGTCGAGTTAAATATCGTTTCTTACAGCTCTGTGTATACTCTTTGGAACACTTGATCAAAATGGCTACATGTTACCCTGTTCTTATTTGTGCTATAAAAAAACGCAAAAAGGAATTTGGTCAATATCAACTGCCACCTTGACGGCAGAATATGCTTGTAAATAACCTATGTATACAAAAAAGATCCCATTTCTTCTCCTACCATGTTCCTACCTACACTGTGAAAACTGACTAGTTAAAATAACTATTTGTAGCTCTTGCATTCCGTGGACGAAATTCTCCTTCTGAACGTAGATGTTAGCTTCGCGGCGACTTCGTTTGCGTTGGCCGACCTCGCTCGACACACAACTGTCCAGGAGAAGGTTCGACAGGAGGTGGACGACGCGCTCCGAGGTGCCGACCCCAGCTCTTGTCTGGACCTGGATAAGAGGTTGCCATATATGGAAATGATTCTTAAAGAAAGTGCCCGGATGCACCCAGCTTTGGCACTCAGTCTCCCAGAAAGAACTGTGAAACCCGTCACTGATATTGGCGGATTTCAGATACCGAAAGGGGTAAGGAACATGGCGTGTTTATTCGTGAATAAAACAATTTTGAGTACTAGCTTTGCTTTTTAAAAAATGCAAGATTGGAACTTTAGAGACAAAATAGCGGGGTAATGACGTACGGCTATGATTTATTGAGCTTTCGAATTCCTCTACATTAGACCATTTAAACAACCGTACACCTGTCATTTTTAATCAAATTTCATGTTTGTTTGCCTGCTTGTTAGTCATACCAGGGCCCTTTACTAAGGGAAAGGGCTCATAAAACCAGGTTGCCTCTTCACACTAGCGACATAACGACATAACGGCATTAGAAGGACGTTACCTCGTTATGTTTACAGTGTGAACATCCTGACATAACGAAATAATCGCAAAATAACAGCATGAAAATAACCACATAATGAAGAAAACTCATCTTTTCCCTCTGCTTCTGTGTCGATGTTCACATTGCAACATAAATCAGATGTGGCGAAGTTATTCTGTTCTTATGAACGTAGGAGAATTGACTTAACTGCATTCTTCCTTTCAACAGACTCCAGTATGTGTGGATCCTTATTCATTGAACTACTCGGAGAAGTACTGGAAAGACCCCGAGAAATTCGACCCAGATCGCTTCGCCAACGGAGCCCGACCGACGCCTGGGTCGCTCTTCCGTTTCGGAATGGGGCCAAGAAAATGTCTCGGTTACCGATACGCTCTGGCTATCACTCGTGTGGTTGTTGCGTCAGTTTTGCAGAGGTACACACTTCAGCTGGCCCACCCTGATGCTAAAGCTCGAGTAAAGACTAAAGGGATGAGTTTTTTCACGCCTTATCTTTGTCCAGAAATTGTATTTAACGAAAGACAAAAGAATATTGCTTGAGAATGACTTATCTTTGTAATCTGCAGGTAAAAATATCTGGTCCTGTTTCACTCTCCGTCGGATTAAAATCAGTAGGTATATTCCAAAATGTAGATTCATAACCATAGGTATGGTTATGAAAAATTATTAACTACATTTTGATGAGTTAATTTTACAAAAAAAAGGAAAGAAAATGGTTGCAATTTTTTTCTTTAAATACTCTGGGCTGTTCCTAATAGTTGAGAAAGCTTTAATGAGTTTTCAAGTACTTCTATAAACCAGGCTAGGCTGTGTAAACACGCTCACTAATTTGATTGTAAGCTAAGAGAAGTGTAATAAAGTTAACTCACTTGCTCAAAGTATGTTTTCGATACTTGCTGCATTTTTCAAAAGTACCATTCAGGCCTTTATCATGCTCGCTCCTTGTCGCTTGTTAGGATGAATTGTAAACTGGTCTATTTACGCTATTAATAGCACGAGAGATTGCCTCAGGTCGAATCTGTGTGGCGTCTGTATATATGAACTACTGACATAAAATTATGGTCTGGGTGACGTATATAAACCTGTAAATAACGCGAGCCCTGATTGGTTGCGTAGCAGTGCGACGTAAGGCTATGTTAACGCGGTTACATAGTACACATAAAAACAGAGAGCATTTGACTTTTGCAGTTTATTTCAATTTCATGCAGCCTCACTAAGTTCGTTATGTAACGTTACATTAAACTAAGAACTAACAGAAAATCATTTTTAGTGGCTGTTTCTTCTGGCTTCTCAGGCTGCCTTTCCACAACGATCTTTAGGCCTCTCAGTCTACAATAAAAATTATAACAAGCAATTAAAAATAAATGGAGAGAAAGACAGACAGACAGACAGACAGACAGACAGACAGACAGACTACCAATTCACGCATGGTGGCTTTCCATGTCCTGGTGGAGTCATTGTTCCAGGGAATACGTTTCCGTCCTGATCCACACACCAGCAGTACCCAGTGGATCCATTACACTGCACCGGCACAAAACTACCATCTGCGGTGCATTGTGGGATGTAGTTTCCTATACGGTGTTGTTGTTGAGCCTTTTTACGCTCTTTTTCACATTCGGTCGGCGGTCTAGCTGCGGAGAACAAAAATAAGGAGCAAATGTTTGCAATATATTTTTACGAAATATTAGGTGATATGAATTACACACTGTAATTATAATCATTTTCACCCCAAGCTCCATAATATTTTGCGGTGATCTTATTCCTAAATGCTTCGTTGATATGATCATTCCAAGATATCAAAGCGTGAGAAATTCTGATTCTCGGTTTCTTCAAATCATTGTTGTTACTTGGTTTGCGGTAGCACCTAAACACATTTCTATCACAAACATTTTACGTTGGGCCTTTGTTTGTAGCATCAAAGAATCAAGGAAACACTTCTGGCAAAGTAAGATATTGCACTGAACAAATTCTTCAGGTAAACCTGACTCGCTAACAAAGTTAAGTTAAGAAAATATGAAGTCACCTTCATTGTGCATGTCTCTGTTTAAAAAGAAAATGGAACACCGCTTAATGAAAGATGATTAGATATCTGCACATCGCTCTTCCTGGATATAAATACTGTTTTGCAATGTAAGAACTTTAGTCTACAAGTAATTACCTTAACTTTGTTGATTTCGATTATTTTGTGTGTGCCTTTGTTTGTTTGTTTGCTTGTGTCCCTGACCTAAACATGTAAAAAATATCTTTTCTTTTAAATGGCTGCCTGGCATTTTTAACCCTTACGTTATTTCGGGTAGCCAGCACCCCTATCATGTTTGTTTTTACTCTAGCAAAACATTGTAATTTTTAATTCTGGGGTGAAATATAAGATTTTTTTTTTAAGTCTTTACCATCCCGTGGAATCATTGCCTCCCAATGGCTGTCCATGCTTGCCCGCTTAATATGGTGAAATGAGGATGACTTTGTCTGCAAAAATTGAAACAATACAGTATAGTTAAAGTCAAAATGACATTCTAGATGCTACTGAGGCTTTGCTATGGAGGAAACTAATCATAGCTAAATTAAATTGCCAGAATCTTTTCTTATCGAAAATAAATATTCAAAATCCTGCGTCAAATAACCGAAGAAACTTTACGGGTGATGGAATAACGCGTGATTTGACTATCATTTGCTTAATCTGACCACCCACTAAAACTCGTAATTTGCTTCGCACTGATAAAATTCACGTGTTAAAAAGAGGAGTAACCAGGATTGCAAGTCATCAGTACAAGCGTTCTCTAGTTAACTTCCAATCTTAAGGCTTTTAAGGTCTTGAGACCCACTGAAATGTCGCTCAGACCTCATTGGTAGATTCTACGATATAAGATTGTCAGTAAAATACAATATCGATCATTTTTCGTTTGCCAGAACCAAATAGGTATATATTCAGAGCATCAATAATTTGAGCTAGCGACCCATCAAGGGAACTGACACAGTCTGCTTGTAGATTCCTAATTACTGAACACCTGATAGTAGGAACAACTTATTTTTTTCTCTCGCAGTGGAATTCAAAACGAAATAAAAGACATTTTTCCATGGGAAAGCCAAGGGTAACACACGGCCAGTTGTTTGGTCATATTTACGTAACCCTGTTTGCTCTTGTCGCGGCTAAAAACTCAACAAACACTAATGCCATTGTTTCATTTTTACCTCAACAAGGCCTTGTGCATCTTTGAAAACAACGAAGGATGTGAATCCGCAAAAGATCAACAAAATGGCGAGGCTCCTCATAGTTGGTCTGAAAAGAGTAAGACAAGGTTATTCAGAATTAAAACCACCGCTCAGAAGTGTAGGGCATGCACTTGACAAAGCTGACGGTAAGTACAGTTTGATACTAGTACCGGAGGATCCTTTGGGGCAACTTCTAGTAAAATTGGCTACCAACAACCGAAGTCAAGATGGCTGTCAACAGTTTCCAGCACTTTTCCAACGGATTAAATCTAACATTATTTATCAAGTGATGCTACAATACTGTTATCACCCAAACTCTACACCATCGGTGAATCTATAATGATAATTTTTATGGCATAGTAAGTTACCATAGCAACAGTAATACCCGTGAGAATCATCCTTATTTTAGAAAAATTCTGTGGGAGGGGTTTAGAGCCATGTTAAATGTTTAAAAATATATCCTTTTGAAATTATATTTCCAAATCACGTAAACTTTCGATCTTCTGATGGTTTCTCTCCAGGTATGTTTCAGAAGTAGGGGCATTTGAACAAAACAGCAACCTCTTGGTAAAATGATTATTGGTTATCTTTTTGTAGACCCGTTAAGTTATTATATCGAATAATTTGCCGACCCTGTTGAGTTTGCGCCTGCCACAAGAAAAATATTCAAGATAAAAAA